GATATTATATATATATATATATGTATTAGAATAGTTATCTAAAGAGACATTATTTAACAATAGTACATTTTTAGGAAGTTTTTCTTTAAAAACAATTCCTTAAAATATAATATAATTTATGTGTAAAAAAATATTTGTTTATTATATTATTTAGTTACATAAAATAAATATTTATCTTATTCACCATAGGATGTAAGATAATAGTTTATATAAAAGAGAAGGTAAAAGATAATTTATGTTGAGATTGAAATACCGAATTCTTTAACGATTGATAAATTTTTTTAAAAAAAAGACTAAAGTATAATTTAAAAATAAAGATAAAAAATGATATTTTAAAAAAATTAAAGGCACAGAAAAAAAAAAATACTCTAGTCGAAAATAAAAAATTAAAAAAAAATTAAAAAAAAACTCATAAAAATGTTCTTCTTAGATAATAATCCCTAAAAAAAATCTCATTCGAAATAAATATTATAATTTATATCAATTTCTATGTATTAAATATGAATTACTAACCACTAGGGCTAGTCTAGTGGTTGAGTAGGGAGAGGTTGGGATAGTTAGAAGCATGAATACTTAGGTTCAATCTTTATTGTGACTATTTTTGTAATCTTTCCTATCCTTACCAAAAAAAGAATACGAACTACTATGTAATATACAGGTTACGGGTTAAAATACTATTTTATTTTAAATATTTATAAAAAAAAAATTATAGGTACCACACAATAAGATGATATTATTAACAATCATGAGCAACACTAAGAAGGTCAATTAACCTTTTAATAAAAAATAAATTGTTATAATTGATCATATGATAACCATAATTAAAAATAATAGTTCTAAATTTTATAGGGATGAAAAAAGATATAGGAACCAAAACCAAAATTTAATCATTTTACATTAATTAAAACATATGTAAATTTATTTTTAAACATATAAATTATATTTTAGATTTAAGATAAATAATTACTATTGAGGTACAAGATTGTTTTTAATTATTGATAATTTATTTTAAAATATAAAAATTTAATACATAAATAATTATGATAAATAAAAATTAAGTTAGATAAGAGATTATAAGGATCCTAAAAATATTCTCATCAAATAATAAGCTCTAAAAACATTATTACACAAGATAACCGTTCGTGTTTAACATATAAGAATTGATAAAAATCTAATTCATAATTAAATATTATAAAAAAATTAAATTAGATAAAAAGTTATAAAAAAATTATAAAAATACTCTCATAATAAACTCAAAATATTTTATAATTTATAATAAATACATATTTTAAAATTTGTAAAATGTAAAAATTTAATTTATAAGCAGTAATTTGAAATGGCAAAGAGATTTTTATTTTCTTAATTACATAGGTATGTGAATGCATTCCTAGTGAGAAAGACGGTATAAATAATTTTTAATTGAGATTAAAAATAGTGAATCACTCTTCATGTTAGTTATTATAATTTATCGGTAGGTTGAGTTATTTTATGTCTTTGTATATTTTATTTAAAAAATAAAATAAGATATAAAAAAATAAGAAAATGAACTCAATATAATAATATTGTAGTAATACATGTTAACAATAAAAGAGATTTTTTTATTTTGCATTTATTTTTATCTTTCTCATTTTTCACTTAATAACCGTAGATAACATCTAATAACTATTAGGATAAATTTATTACTTTTCTATTTTTTAGCGGTTTTTTCCCACTAGTAACAATATTAAAAGAGTTGATTCGATTTATGTAAGAATAATTAAGAATAATGATAAATAAAGGGAAGTTACATTTATTAAAGGGTGAATGTCTTAAGAAAATTATAAACCAAAAATTGGTATTCTTTTTATCTTTGTTAGAATTATAAATTATAAATTATGAGTTTAACTCAATCTTACAAAATCAGTTTGTAAACCGTGAATTATTCTCACTTATAAATTTTTTATTTATCTTACCTCTAATTGGTGTAAAATTTAGATTTTTTCAATAAATCTTCTCTCATTTAGTAGGGGTGGCAAAATGAGTCAGTCTAACCCATTTAAGCTCACCCACCCGTTGGTCCGTAAAAACTAAGTTGGGTCAAGTCGGCTCGTCAAATGAAAACAAGTTAGACATCCTAACTTGCTCCGCCTAGCTGGCAGCCAAAAAAAAATTAAAATGAGTCAGACTAACCCATTTAAGCTCACACACCTGTTGGTCTATAAAAACTAAGTTGGGTCAAGTCGGCTCGTCAAATGAAAACAGGTTAGACATCCTAACTTGCTCCGCCTAGCAGGTCAGCCAAAAAAAATTTTAAAAAAATTGTAATTTTTTTAGGTACTCCTTCCAACATATTTATTTCTCATTTTCTAAAAGAGCTAAAGAAATTAATGTATCTAAATAATAAAAATAAATTTCAAGTTACAACATATTTGATTTAATTTATTATATAATAAATATCAAATTTGCCACATTATAAAATAGATATGTAATTGTAACAACAACAATAGTAGTAGTAGTAGTAATAATAGTAATAATAATAATAATAATAATAATAATAATAATAATAATAATGATAATAATAATAATAATAATAACTCTTCCAACAAATTTGCTACACAAAAAGTCTTAAATTATATATAATAAAATAAATTAAATGCATAAATATTTTTTGCACAACAAATCACTCTCAAAATAAATCTCATATAACTTATTCAAACTTAATATTAAAATAATAATAATAATAATAATAATAATAATAATAATAATAATAATAATAATAATAATAATAATAATAATAATAATAATAGGAGAGTTGACGAGTTAATCCATCCTGACCCAACGGGCTGGTGAACCAGGTGGGGTAAGTTAAGATGCCCAACCCAGCTGCCAATATTTGGCAAGCCCGCTTTGCCATCTCTAACATCTAGTATTATTGGACTTAATATATGAATTAATGGTAAGTGAAATATTTTAAGAGTTAATCACCTATACACTGTCGGTGTAAAGTTTTTTTACACTGACAACCAATTATATCTCTTAATTGTACAATGTCACTGTTAAAAGTAAATGTATTTACAGTGACATGGCATAATTAAGAAATATAATTGGTTGCTAGTATAAAAGAATTTTACACTAGCAGTGTATAAGTGATTAACTAATTTTTTAATGACTTAGGATAGGCAGAACTTGTGTACTTAAAATTGCATATTTTTTTAGGCACTTCTCCCAACATATTTCTTTCTCAATCTCTAAAAGATCTACATAAATTATTGAACTTAATAATAAAATAAATCTCAAATTACAACATATTTGGTATGATTTGCTACACAACTAATCTCAAATTTTCTACACAACAAATCTCAAATTTTCTATATGATAAAATAGATATGTAATAATAATAATAATAACAACAACAACAACTCTTCCAACAAATTTTCTAAAAACAAATCTTAAATTATATATATTAAAATAAATAAAATGCATAACATAATTTTTGCACAATAAATTACAAATTACTCACATAATAAATATTATGTGGCTTATTTAAACTTAACATTAAAAATAAAAAATAATAAAATAAAAATTAGGCATGCCAATGGTCAAGGCGAGGCAAGACAGGCTAGGCTAAGATGTCCAACTTAACTTGTCATTTTTTGGCGGACCTGCAAGCACTACAAGGAAAATGATAAATTGCGACAAACAAATTGCGACGGTTATCTAAAAATCGTCGTCGCTTTGATATTACAACCCTTCAAACGACAATTTTTCAAAACCGTCGCAAAATTGTTCAACATTGAGACGGTTTATCGTAAACCGTTGCAAAATTTGTTTAACATTGCGACAGTTAATCATAAACCGTCGCAAATTTTTGCGACAGTTAGTCATAAACCATCGCAAACTTTTCAGCATTGCAACGATATTGCGACCCTCATACAACAGTTTTTCAAAACCGTCGCAAAATTGTTCAACATTGCGAAGGTTTATCGTAAACCGTCGCAAAATTTGTTTAACATTGCGACAGTTAATCATAAACCGTCGCAAATTTTTTTAACATTGCGACAATTAGTCATAAACCGTCGTAAACTTTTCAGCATTGCGACGGTTTATAGTAAACCGTCGCAATCT